TTCGCTCGAGCGTAGGTCTCGTCGCTCGAGCGTGCGTCTACGTGTACCAAAAACCTGAGAGCTTGCAATTTACGCTCGAGCCACCATTCCTTCACTCGAGCGTTGCTCTGAACAAACGATGGTCGCTCGAGCGTGGAATCCTTTGCTCGAGTAAGGAAGCCAAATTCTGGAATTTCCAGATTTGCCTCCCAAGCTCAAACCAAGTATTCAACACCTCAAAACTCGACCTCTTGGGCCCATTTTTTGGAAAACACTTGTAAACTCATAGTATAAGGTGTTTCAAAGATCAATTTGTAAAATCAAAGCCCAAGGGTGAGTCAATTGAACACAATTTCAAATAAAATCTCAAGAACAAAACTTGAAAGTAAAATGCAAGAATCTCCTTGAAACCAAACCCTCCAAAACATGATCAAACTTGATAATTTGACGGACACACTACAACAAAAAGCATTTTTTGCGACGTTTTTTAGCAACAAAATTGAATTTAGTTGCCAATTGTATGTTTTTGGCGACAATATACGTGTTGGTCGCCAAAAAATACACCATTAGCAACAAATATTTCAATTTGTCGCGAAAAATGGTTGGCGCCAATTTAATTTGTCGCGCGGGAGCGCTAAAAAAGTTTTGGCGACGAAATTAATATATGGTGACGAAACTGTTTGTCGCCAATTTGGGACTTTTTGGCGACGGAATTAAACTAGTCGCTGAAAAGTGAATGATATTTATGGCAACATAATAATTTTCGTCGCCAATAAATTTCTTGTCAAAACGACGTCGTTTTGAATCTGTCTTTTTTTTTTTTTAATGACCTTTAAGTGAATAAACAAAGTTGACCTAAAAGGAGTCTTCTTCATCTTCTCATTGCACAACCTGAAGCGGCACAAAGAGGTATGTTTTCTCTCCCTCTTCTTCATCTCTCTTTCTCTCCTTCTCCCTCTCACTCTCACTCTCTCACACTATCTCATCTTCCTCTCTTTCTTCTTTATCATCAATTTCATTGTCTTGTTATTGCAGAACACAACACAATCAATGGGACTGATTTTTCCCTCAATTTCTCACACTCTCTCATCTTCCTCTTTTTCTTCTTTGTCATCAATCTAATTTTTCAGATTGATATTGTGATTTTCAGACTGATATTGTGATTTTCGGGACTGATATATTGTGATTTTTGGACTGATTTTGGAACTGATTTTCGGGACTGGTATGTTCTGAATTTTTGGACTGATTTTTGTAAGAAACGAAATGTAGAGCTTTTTCAAGAGATGCAAGGATGGTTTATATAAGACTTTATAGAGAATTCTTTGATGCAACCCATATTATGGTGTCTGTCTCTGTTCTTGTGATGGATTTTGGAGCTGTGATAATCTCTGTTATTTATTTATTTATTATATATATATATTATATCTGCTTACAATAACCACAGACTGGTTGAAAATTTATTTTTTTATTTTTTATTTTTTTTATTTCTTGGTGATGTATTATATAGCATTAGAAGGCAAAAAGGTAAATGGATGTTACCAAGAAAACAGAGATCAAACTTAAGCTCGTTTGTTTAAGTGAAAGTTATTTTTTATTTTCTGTATTTTCTATAGTTTTTTATGAAGGAAAACAAAAGTTAACAAAAAAATATATTTTTTATAGTCAATGAAAAAGAATTTGTTTGGGTGAAAAATATTTTTCATTGTTAAAAAGTGAAAAAATATTGTTTGGATTAATATTTACCACCGCTGTCAGTGTGTCGATGAGGCCCATCGATTGTGAGCACACAGCATGACATGGCATTAAGAAGCATATGTTAATGGGATATTCAAGAGCATTGGCTGAGATCATCTTTGCCATTGGTTTAGATGGAGTATGCAAAATATGACTCTTGTTTTGTTTTGTTGGGTATGTGAATGAACCAGGGAACTTGCATTTTTTTTGTATTTTTATTCAAGTGGTGTGTCATGAGGGTGGACCACAGTTTTGTGTTGAATATTCTTACAAGTTACAACTATTCATTGCCCAAAAAATTATAGATATTTTGTGTATCGGTGACCCTTTTAATAATTTCATCATATAACATTCATTTCATGTCCACTCTCCATTAATTTCATGTACAGTGCAATTTAATTTAAACTTTGATTTACAATTCAAATGTTATAGGTTATTGGCTAATGCGAATAGATAAATTTGAGATTGTTGATTATGATGAGGATGAAGAGGTTCGGAAAATAAGTCTAGTTGTCAAAAAAAATGGGACTAGATACGTCATTTAGCAACTTGACTATTTTAGTTGATTTTTTAATTTTTTTATGAAATGAAAAAGAATTATGTTTTGGATGATTTGTGGATATTTTTTTTTGTAGGTGAATAGATAATTGTAAAAGAAAAAGTTGTTGATTAATGTATAGGACATGACATTTTGTATTATTAACTATTTTTTTCTATTGACTATTCAGCCAAAATATAAGTCCCAAACAGGCCTAAAATTCATGTTTCAAGTTTTTTTCTAATTTACTCCTAAAACTAACTTTTGTTCAAAATTATATAGAAAATGCATGTTTCCTGCCACATCATATAAAATGAGGGCTGTTTGTGGGACTATTGGGTGATAATTTGATTATTTGCTAATCTATTTTTCTGCTACTGTGTGGCTGGTCTGCTACTCTGTATCTGAGGCTAATCTGCTACTCTGTATCTGTTGGGTGATAATCTAATTTTTTGTTAATCTGGTTCTCTGCTGCTGTGTGGCTGGTCTATATCTGTTGGGTGATAACCTTTTTTTTATTTTTTTTATTTTGATCATTCATGTTTCAAGTTTTTTTCTAATTTACTCCTAAAACTAACTTTTGTTCAAAATTAGATAGAAAATGCATGTTTCCTGCCACATCATATAAAATAAGGGTTGTTTGTGGGACTGCTGGGTGATAATTTGATTATCTGCTAATCTGTTTTTCTGCTACTGTGTGGCTGGTCTGCTACTCTGTATCTGAGGCTAATCTGCTACTCTGTATCCGTTGGGTGATAATCTAATTTTTTGTTAATCTGGTTCTCTGCTGCTATGTGGCTGGTCTATATCTGTTGGGTGATAACCTGATGCTAATCTGCTAATCTGATGTGTGTCTGTTGCTGTTTTTGGCCTATGCTAGCACTAGTTCCATGCCTCTTTTTGTTTTGTTTGTATTTGGATTAGGTTGCATGCCTCTATTTTGGTTTGTAGTTGCTGTATTGCTTGCATCATCCCTCTCTTTTTGTTGATGTTTTCTTCCTTTCTGTAAGGTTATCCATCATCAATAAAGGGTTATTTGTTGTTAATCAAAAAAATAAAAAATAAAAGGGCAAACTGTAAATTACCCTTCAGTTTATATGTGGTTCATGCCACATTATGGGACTGTTTTGTATAGTTTATATGAGTTGTTTATAGTTATTTATTATTTTTAGAGTCAATTTAAACTGTTTTGTATGGTTTCTGTTTATAGTTTATTAGGTAAGAATAGTTTAAGAGCAATGCTACGTCTATTTAAAGTCTTGCTAACAATATTACTAAAAACATATATGTTCAAATATCATTGGATGATTAATATCATTAATTTTTTAACAACCAATCACATTTGGCCTATTATATTTTTTGTAAGATTTTTAGTAAGTTTGTAGTATAGGTAGAATTATTCATAGTTTAAATAAGTTGAAACAAAAATTGATTATCTCAAAGTTTAGGAAAGTTGTTTTGACTTCTGTTTTTATTTTTAGTATGCAATAAATTGCACCAAACACTAAATATATTTTAACTAAACACTGTCTATTTAAATTTTAATACAAAATTCAAAGTGCATAGTGAGACCTATCAAATGTGTAAGTCTCACCCTACTATGTTTGTGGTGATGCTGTAAAAAGGTATCCTTTTGTTGCACCAAATGATAATAACCTCACATTAAAGGCCATTAATTGGTGCATTAGCAAAAGTCTTAGGTTATTAAAGCACCAGAATGCAAAGTTTAAGATGTAAAATTTAATATTCTTAATACATTTTTGTAGTTAAGTATGATTTTTAGTTTAAAATAAGGAAATTTAAACTCTAACATTAAGAATGGTTTTGTTTAGTTTCACTTTAAATAATTTTGTTTTAAATACTTTTTAAAACAAAAGCAATAGAAAATTGAAAAACAGCCATCAAGGACAATAGGATGTTGGTATCCATATCTCTGCATATATCTCTCTACCAAACAATTACTTCTACATCCATTGTAATTTACAATACATGAGTAAAAATAGAGACAATTTTTTTTCCCTTTGTGGAAGATCACCATATAATTTGACTTATATATAGTTATTTATTATTTTTAGAATCAATTTAAACTGTTTTGTATAGTTTCTGTTTATAGTTTATTAGGTAAGAATAGTTTAAGAGCAATGCTACGTCTATTTAAAGTCTTGCTAACAATATTACGAAAAACATATATGTTCAAATATCATTGGAAAACAGCCATCAAGGCCAATAGGATGTTGGAAGATCACCATATAATTTGACTTATAGTTTCTTATACTATACAATGTCATCATGTGTACATGCAACATCTTTAAATTAAATGTTAAATTAAAAAAATGTATTACAAGGTTTATAAAAACTTCAACTTTCATTAAACAAATAATTAAAATACATATACATACTCATCATAGAGAAGTACACACAGGAACATAACCTGAATTTCATGATTCTACCCTTGTAGGCCCTATTGGTGAGCTGTTTTGTTCTTTAATTTCACCATATTGGTTCAAGGTTTGGCTTTTTTGAGAGAAAATATTATTTTTTTTATTATTTTTCAATGTTTACCTAATGTTTTGAGCATTCATGATATGATGTCACAGCAGGGGGCTGTGAAAATACCTACCCCAATCCCATTTTAGTATATGTTTTCATTGTGCATTCATAAATGGGATAGGACCACTTACCTATTGAATATTAGTGTACATAGTGATAAAGGAATTTCACATAACATTGGCTTTGTAGGTGACCAAATATGGATAAGAGTTGGATGCTACTTAGGGATAGGATGAGTTCCCAGTATCGAGATGGGGTGAAGGCTTTTGTTCAATTTGCAATGATGAATGTAGAGCCAAATGATAAGATTCGTTGCCCATGTATGGACTGTTTGAATTGTGAATGACATACTTGTAAAATTGTGGAGTATCATTTAGTTGTGAAAGGGATGTCTCCTTCTTATAAGACTTGGGTGCATCACGGGGAATCTGTTCCCATGAATCAATCTCATGCATTGAATAATGACAACCACAATGACTTTGGAAGTGTTGGGGATAGAATGGAAGTAGAGACAGGCGAAGATCAAGATGAAATCCTAAATTTGTTAGAAGATGTTTACATGGGGACTACCATAAATGATGATGAAAATGAATAGGATGAGGAGGACGGTGATAATGACAATGACAATGACGATGATGTGGCTAACAATGTTGAAAAAGAGGGCGTGCCCAACTTTAACAAATTGTTGAATGATGCTCAAAGAGAGTTGTACCCTGGGTGTCATAAGTTTTCTCCTTTATCATTTGTTGTTAAGATGCTTCATGTGAAGGTGTTGAACAAGTGGAGCAATAAGTCTTTCAACATGTTGTTGGGGATATTAAAGGACCTTCTACCGGTAAGTGATCAAGTGATTCCATGGACCCTTTATGAAGCCAAAAAATTCTTACGTGCCTTAGGCTTAGGATATGTGTCGATTCATGCATGCAAGTATGATTTTGCACTTTTCTGGAAAGAGAATACAAATTTAGAGAATTGTCCGATTTGTCAAGAGTCTAGATACAAGTTGAATTATGGAAAAGGTAAAAAAGTTCCTCACAAGACCTTAAGATACTTCCCGTTGACATCAAGGTTGCAGAGATTATATATGTCGAGAAAAACAACAATAGATATGAGATGGCATAAAGAGAAACGAGTAGATGATGGGATATTGAGACACCCGGCTGATGGTGAGGCATGGAAGGATTTTGATAGGCAACATCCTTCGTTTTCCCGAGAGAGTCGAAATGTGAGGTTAGGGTTGGCCACTGATGGTTTCAATCCTTTTGGAAACATGAGCAACTCGTACAGTATGTGGCCTGTGATTGTTATGCCTTACAACTTGCCTCCTTGGAAATGTATGAAACAAGCATTTAGTATGCTGTCATTGCTTATCCCTGGACCACAAGCACCAGGGAGAGATATCGATGTTTACATGCGACCATTAATTGATGAGTTGAAGGAGTTGTGGAAAGATGGTGTGCTTACTTATGATGCCTCAATTGAATTAAGTTTTCAAATGCATGCAGCTATTATGTGGACAATTAATGACTTTCCTGCATATGGAAACTTGTCAGGATGGAGTACGAAAGGGTATTTGGCTTGTCCCACCTGTAACAAAAATGCTTCCTCACAACAGTTGAAAGGTAAGATAAGGTACACAGGCGCTCGTCGTTACCTGCCTGATGACCACCCTTGGCGAAGGAGTCGACTTTATAATGGTAAGACTGAGTTCCTGTCAAGACCTTTAGAGTTATCAGGTGAACAAATCTTAGAACAATTGGATTCAGGGACATTCAAACCATTTGGAAAGTATCCAACCAATAAGAAAAGAAAAAGGGAAAATCCAGTATTGAATTGGACAAAAAAAAGCATCTTCTTTGAGTTGCCATATTGGAAAACACTTAAACTCCGACATAACCTCGATGTTATGCACATAGAGAAGAATATATGTGATAGTTTGCTTGGAACATTACTGAGTATAGATGAGAAGAACAAAGACACAGAAAAAGCACGCATGGATTTGGAAGATATGAAAATAAGGAAGGAGTTGCACTTAAAAACGCCCCCAGCATTGTACACTTTGTCCTCAGATGAAATATATGGTTTTTGTGAGTTTTTAAAGTCAATTAAGTATCCTGATGGTTATGCAGTAAACATCTCAAGGTGTGTGAACACAAAAGGTGATAAGTTAACAGGCCTAAAAAGTCATGATTGTCATGTCCTCATACAGTGACTTCTTCCCATTGGAATGCGTGGATATCTTCACAATGATATTTGTGTCGCATTATTTGAGTTGGGAAATTTTTTCCAAGAGCTTTGCTCGAAGACATTGAAGATGAAGAATTTGGAAATATTAGAAGATCGCATAATATTCATACTATGTAAGTTAGAAAAAAATTTTCCACCAGCGTTTTTTGATGTGATGGTCCATTTGGCGATTCATTTGCCGCGTGAAGCCATTCTTGGTGGGCCTGTGCTATATCGGTGGATGTACCCCATTGAAAGGTACTTACTAACTTATTAAAACACTAGAATACTTAAATTGTAGCACAACCTATATATATATTTATAAAAATGTGAGTGTGTGTGTAATAAGATTATTCTATTGTTTGTTTCATAGGCTACTCGGAACTTTAAAAGGATATGTTGCAAATCGAGCTCGTCCAGAAGGTTCGATCACAGAAGCTTATGTTGTCAAGGAGTGTCTCACATTTTGCTCAATGTATCTAGGTGGGATTGAAACTGTATTTAATCGAGAGGAACGGAATGTCGATGTTAGTGTGCATGAGTCGGGGATAGAGGTCTTCGCGCAAAATGTTCGTCCTTTTGGGCTAATTACAAGGGTTTCTAACGTGTCTCAAAAAGAATGTGAAATGGCTCATTGGTTTGTCTTGAATAATAGCCTCGAGCTTGACCATTATCTAGAGTACGTTCTTAATATTGTTTTTTTTTGTAGAATTACGTTTTCAATATAATATGTTACTTATGAATCATATGTTTGTAAAGTAGGCAACCCAAGAATCTTTTAGAAAATGAAGGTGTACGTGACATCACAAATAGACAGAAAAAGGAATTCCCCAAGTGGTTCAAAGAACATGTAAGATATAATCCCAAACTTTATTCAGCTACACTTATATGAATACTGACATAATGATTGAAATTGGTGTCGTTACGTAGATGAACCAATTACGAGCTCAAGGATTACCAGAAGCAACTAATGATTTGTGGTCATTAGCAAATGGTCCTAGTGTGAATGTTAACTTGTATTCAGCTTGCATTTCCAATGGTGTTCGATTTCATAGTAAGGATCGTGATAGTAGTCATAAATGCCAAAATAGTGGGTTAGTTGTGGAAGGGGAGCATGAGAGACAAACAATTAACTTTTATGGGTACTTGAATAGAGTGTGGGAGATGCATTACATACTTGGACATCGAGTTGTTTTATTCCAATGCAAATGGTTCAATACCGGTAGCAATAGAACATTACATACCGATACACATTGCACAAGTATTGATGTTAGAAGTCGATGGTATAAAGATGATCCATTTGTCTTACCAAGTCATGTGAAACAAGTTTTTTACGTTGATGATACAAAGTTAGGCGGACATTGGAAAGTCGTAGAAAGACTACAACATCGAGGAATATGGGATGTACCAGAACAAGATGGCTTTGAACCTGAAAATGTATTGCAACAAAATGAAACAACTGATGCTGTCCCAGTGAGCGTTGAAGACCCCGTGACAATCTCACTTCATAGGAATGACATTGATCCTCAAATTATCCCAAGTGAGGTGGTTTTACAATCAGTTAATCGAGCACACAACGATGGTGTTGATGAGGAAGAGGGGTGCGATAATGAAGATGATTACTACGAGCATTGACTATCCGAGAAGATGAGCTACATAATCATTTTGATTGTAATATAGATTTTGACATAGAACTTTAATTGTTGTGTCATTTTTATGTTTTTATGACACTGTTGTTTAAGTGCCTTTGAGTTTGAGTACAATGACTATTCAAAAAGATTTTTCTTTTTTTTGTATGTGTGTTTGTGTGTGTGTGTGTCTCTCTCTCTCTCTCTCTCTCTCTCTCTCTCTCTCTCTCTCTTTCTCTATTTTTTTTTTTTTCTCTCCATGTGTTCGCGTTGCTCTCTCTCTCTCTTCCCTCTTC